ATTCCTCTTACCCACAAAGCTAACAATACCCAGGCCCCATTATATAATAGAGATCTCATAATTCCCTATCATCTTACCGGAACTCTGTGTTCTCAGAGTACAGGACTACTTGAGGGTCATACAGTTTCCATGCACAGCCTTTATCAGGACCATTTACAGTGAAACCAGTCGTGTAATTCAGCGAATGTCAGACACAGTCTCTGTTTATAAAGACTCTTTTTTACTGTATGCATCTTCTCCAGTATGTAAAAGCAGTGTAAAAGCATCCAAAGTGTTTCAATAAATTAAAGCTGCAAATCTTATAATTCAGGCAATATTTCCCATGCATGAAAATTACAGTTTGAATGAGCTGAAGACACAGAACAGTAAAATAAAGGCATTTTGGTGTCCTAATACTAATATAATGCTTCCACATTGTGGACGTTTGAAAAGAAAGAAATGCTTATTTTAATTTCACAAGTGAACCTCTTTAAAGTTGCAGCCAAGGCCTGTAGCTGCTGGCCTTGTTCAAATGCATCTCTGAGGACCCAGCCAGCCTGTGTTGGCAGCTGGTCTACGGGACATGACCAGTAAGCTACAGTCGGGTAAACACTGCTGGCGCTCCATGCAAGTGGTTCGTAACCCTGATCCGAAGGGCACATTTTTTCCCCCTCAGTGAATTAGTTTCTTCACAGGCTCAAAATACCTGTTTAAATGAATATTTATATGCAAGCTATTTATGAACATGTTAACAAATGAAAGAGGTAAATCTGTCATTGAAATGGGGTATAACAAAACAGGATAGCAAGCCTGAAAGTTTAAGATTAGAGACGGGTGGAATTTAAATTCAATCTATATTCCCTGTGCTGAACTCTGCTCATACATTACAGCAGAAATAGACTATTGTTGAAGATTCCCATTAGTCTAACATCACAAAAAAAGCAGTTAGGTTGATTATATTTTAAAAATGGCAGTGTAAATTTCACCTTAACAAAGCAGCTAAAGTGATGCCCCAGAACGTTTGATGAATGTGTTCGATCTTAAAGCCGTAAATTATGATTGATACAGAATCCAAACACTGCAACTAAATGATTTACGGGAATAATCTTCCTTCTGTTCTGGATCTCTGTTATTAGATATGATGAATAAATCCACATTTCATCCTGCTCTAAACTTCCTGTTAAAAAAATCTCTAATGTAAAAAAAAGACATTGCCATTTCCTCTTTTACTGAAACAGCTGTTGGCTCTTTATTTTCTCTCTATGAGCTAGCAACGACTGCTTTCAGGAAGAAAAGCTCCTGCTCTGACCCTTCTGGATGTCACACTGCTAAAAAAAAAACAAAACAAAAAAAAACACAAAATGCTCCAATTAACTTATATGGTATTAAAAAGACTACATCACTGGTACAGTCTTTTATAAGCTCTTTGAAAAATGTCATATTGTTTATTATTTTAACTACAGCTGAACTGTAATATCAAAAGAACAAAATTTTATTTAGACTGGATGAGTTTTTAGAAGCAGCACCAAGTCTGTGAATCCTCTTTATTCTTGTATGTTAGCCAAATTTGAGGGTGTTTTGTCTATATTGAGGGAAACAATTGTAGACAATTGTTTGTAGACAATTTGTTAATTTATCTACATTTGATAACAGCAATCTAAAGATAACCATATTGGATATTTATTTTTAAAATAAGGTAGCTACATATCTATAAGTTAAGTGAGAACTCAAGTTTTGGATGAGAGGATTTTTCAATTTATGGAGGACTCAGTGAATCATTGAAAAAAGATAACCAGCCATTTACTATTTAACATTTAAATCATGCAATTTGAAATCCAATTTGAAAAGCCTTTTCTCATTGCACATTTTGAAATGAATTTAAAGAGGAATTTTGGATTCATTAATCCATTATTGAAAACTATTTCTAAATAAACATGTAAAGCCAAAATTCGTAAACGCATTTACAAATCCCTTTCCTAATCCCAGATTTAAACATGCAATTCCTTATTTAATTTCTTTTATTTGTTTACACCTTTTAATTTACCCTCTCCATTTACCTCTTCCCCTGAGCCCACTGAAAACCAGTTTAATAAATCACAGTCTCCATCCATCCATCCATCCATCCATCCATCCATCCATCCATCCATCCATCCATCCATCCATCCATCCATCCATCCATCCATCCATCCATCCATCCATCCATCCATCCATCCATCCAGTTTATAGGATGTTTCCCATCATATATTGTGAACGAAAATCACACGTTCGTGTTGGATAGCATGTTTATAAGTAAAACTGTGACCTGCACTTGCAGGAAATTCAAAACCAAGTTTGATACCTTTTGAAGCTCCTGGAGATGACCAATCATAGCCGGTTAAGTTAATATTGAATATTGAAGTTAATAATGACTTTAAAACATCTCTCTAGCAACACAGGCACAAGCTAGATGGATATTAAAGCCATGCATATGATGGCATGTGTTTATAGCTTTTTGAGGTCAATTGGACTGCTTCATTCAGAGGCTTGCAGTTGTCATGACAGGCCCTGTAGTTGGTAATCAGTGATTTGCTAGTCTGTTAATACTAAAAAAAAACGTTCTTTGATTGATTTCTTAAAATAAATTTGGTATATCGTTATATTCCCTAAGGTCACAGAGGGATACATGATCAAAACCTGTGAACAATAGCCAAATCCTTTTTACCTGATTTTTTTTCTTCTTGCCAGTGTGAGTTTTTCAACACCTTCTCAATGGCAGTCCAGACCAACCACTGTCACAAAATTGGGTGCTGTATGCTGTTGCAAAGGTTTTGTATAAACCTTTGATTTGCACTAAAGATTTTACAGAGATTTGGGACAGTTGTGGTGTGAACCCCTCCTAAAACATTCTACCACACAAAGCCAGACATATTTTGTGACTAACTCAAGTGTGCTTAAATAATACTCAAGTGTGCTTTAAGAAGCTCTATTACGACTGATTCCTTACCATATGTCAAAACCACTTAGTACTGCTTTGACAGTCCAACTTAGTATTTCTTTGAATGGATATACCCAGGGGTGGTATAAACGAGAATGACAAGAATAACAGTGACCATTTTGTCCAGAAAATTATTAAAATAAGGTTTTCAATAGCCCTTTGATGGACTGGCGACCTGTCCTGGGTGTACCCTCGCCTGTAGACAGCTGGCAACCCGGCTTGGGATAAGCGTGAGAGAAAATGGATGTATGGATGGATGAATGGTTTTCAAAACTGAAAAAGGAAAAAAAAAAAAAAAGAAACGCTGAAGAAAGGATGTCCATTTGCTCTCCGAAAGAAGTGGGTAGATTCTACTAAGGGTTTACCTTTTTGTTTATTTTCTAGTGAAATAAGAGATCTAGCTTAGTCATGGATTAGCGCTAGCCTACATTTAAGCAACATGTAATCAGTGAAGGGTACTATTTAGTAAGATAATAGTATACTAAACTTGTCCCTGTCCCTTTTACCGTGCTAACAGAACTTAGCAAGAGTCAGCAGCCCTGACTGCTCGTAGCGAAGTAAATCCTCCTCCCTGTCCCAGTGAAACTGAGCAATTAAGCTGTTTAATGATGGGTCAGTTGGCATTATCTGTCATGATCTTGGCACTGATGACTGACTTGTTTACTCATTCTATTAACCTGCTAACTCTGCCTGGTTTCTCATTACCCCTCGTCTGATCCACCTGCTCATGCCTCTATTTAAGGCGCTTGCATCCAGCCATCAAGGCCAGATTATGTTGTTCTCTCTAGCCAGTGGTGAGAGTGTTTTAGAGATCCTTCATGTTTCGGATTTCCTGATCCTGACCTATTCTGCCTCTCAACCTCTGAGCCCGCCTGTTCCTGTTCTGATCTGTTTGCCTGATCTGGCTTCGGACTCCTGGATGTTCTCCGGGGCTGCATTCTCTGGGACACTCTGGGCAGCACCTGCAGCATCTTGTTTGCAGCCAATCGGCTGGATCCTGCCTCGTTCTCTGGCTATGGACTGAACTTGTAAACCAGGTCAGTGACTCATGCTCATAATCTTCCCCCATTAGATTTATGTGGTTACTAACCTGTGTTTTCCTCTCTCCAGAGTTTCCTGCATGAGACGCAGTACCTGCTGCTACTGCAGATCTGCAGCCAGTTAATGTGAATAAATGCTTTATGAGTAATCCCACTGTCTGTCTGCCTGAATACTGGGTCCTTCTGTTCTGGATAATGACACAAGGAGAGTTTAGAACTTTCTATGTCTCTTATGTTATTTTACATATCAAAATACAAAATAAAACATTTTGGTCAAATCAAACAAACAATGTTCTTACAAAATAATCATTGTGTTTAGATTAAATGCAACCGGGAAGTAGTTTATCTGTTCCTGAGTGGGAATTAAATACAGTAACAAAATTATCTAGTTTGAGGTTTCCTTTGTTGTATTTTGATTAATGCCTTTGTTAGCAAGAGGCCCAGGGCTCTTGGTGAGTCAAGCTGGGCCAGTAGTAACTGTCAAATGGCATATCTGACAGAAAATATTTGTTTTCCTAAAGCTCTTTGTTTTTGATTATTCTCTTCACTATTGGAGATAATGATGTTAATATATTTTATATCTATCATCTATCATTTCATTGACATTTAGGATAAAGCAATGCATGTTATACTTTATATAGAAAAAAAAAGGTAAACTGACCTGTCCAGCTTTCAAGTATAATGGTAATATAATTGCTTATTTTTATTTCTTACAGTAAAACAATGATTTGGAAAATATGCATTTTGATACATTTTTAATGTTGGTTTTATTGTTGAATAAACCAATAATTTGCATATTGTGTGCAAAATTGTTCTACCAGTAGTATTGATCTAAGTAAGCAGTTGCTCAAAGACTGAGGGGCCATATTTTTAATTTTTTTTTGGATACCACTTGCTAAAATCAAAATCCATGATTCCAGTAGTATTATAGATGTATGTTTAATGTGATCACCCTCTTATAACCACTATGTTATTTTCTCAGCTCTCTAAATCAACAATGGACTCACCCTGATGCCCAGCTCCACATTTTCTCCCCCATACACCTCCATGCCTTCATCCAGCAGTCCAATCTCCTCAAAGTAAAGTCGGTCCACCACAAAGCAGCCAATCAGAGCAGGGCTCCTAAAACATTTGATGAACAACAGGTTTGTTTGTTAGTTCCCACAGTCACACTAAGAACTCAAAAATATGAGTCATGATTTTCATAATCACAAACTTGACATTTTTGCATGGCTGATCTTTAATTCAATACCACATAATTGTGCTGATGGATTGATTTACTTACTGTATCGGGGCACTTCTGTTGCCCCTGTGCCACCAGGACTTGGGAGGATTGAGATAACGGCACCATAGTTCCCAGTCAAAGCCCTGAGCGGACAGTGGGTATTCCTCAATCTCAAATGTGTCATACTTGATGTTGTCAAATGATGGGGAGATTATGCGTGTTCTGTCCTCTTTAATTCTCAGTAGAATTGGTTCAGCCCTTTAAAAATGGAGAAAGATTTGAGTCAGCGAAATGTGTGAATCTCTATCTGCGTGTGCCTTGGGGATGGGGATGGTGACGAGGGGTGGTGGGTGCTGAGGCAACACAGTTTTTCAACCTTTTGCAGGCAATTACTGCAAACTTATAAACTTTCAGTTGCCTTTAGATTAGTGTACACGAAAAAAAAAATGCTTCTATTATATGACTACACAGGGGCATCCATGCCTTTCATTGAAAAGTGCAAAGAAAAAGGTCCAATACAGTTGTACACTGTAGTGCTTTGGTAATACGCCCTGTGTCCTGTAATCCAAAAGATGAGTCTGGCTTTGAAAGTTGTCAGGAAGATGCCTCTTGCCTGACTGCATTGTGTAAAGTGCTAAGTTTGGTGCAGAGGGGATTAGAATATGAATCTGATTTTCAGCAGTAGAGCTTTCTTGGTTCTAGTAAAAGGAACTGTTAATCCTTCAGCATATTTAGATTCTTTAGACAATTTATGTCCCTGATGTTTTGGAACAGTTTGTAGACGGTCCCTTCAGGACGAATACATATATAAATATTATTGTGCACCCGGGCATAAAGCAAGGTCCCCAGGAACATGTGTGAACAAGTGTTTGTTTGATGAGGGAAAAATTTGCAATAATCAGGGAAAAAGCCACAGATGGACTGTTCAAATGTGAATTCTGTTTGAAATATTAAACATTACTTGTATGCCATTAATTCAAACAAGTCCCTGCATTATGTTCTCCTTTCTTAAAAACCTAAACAACTTGAATGCACTGTGCAGGAATCTTACACATAAATAAAACACTTTTATCAAACACAGACAGCAGTAAGCATAGTGAGAAAACAATCAACTGCGATTAAAGTACTGCAGCAATCAAATAAAAATTCTTGTTTCAGTCTCTTTGCTCTAAAACATGCATATATTCCAGCTTGTTATAAATAATGCATGAGCTGTATGCATCTTTGCATAGGTATTTTTGATGATTACAACTTTGTGCAGGATGAGGCATATACCTGTGTTTTCTTTATGTTTTACAGTTTGTGATTGTGGTTGTGGTTTAAGGCCGCAGCATGGCACAAACTGACAATTTCTTGATTTTTAAGTAGGTTAAGTGTAAATATCTAATGTACATCTACATACATAAAGACAGATATCTATAACCTTACAACACAAAGACAAAAAGTATGTGTCATACATAGTAATCTGATTAATTTGACACCCCCCCCAAAAAAAAACAACAACAAAAAACTCTTGTTGCAACCCAAACAACAATGAAAAAGTAGAAATGTAATTTCACAATGGATGCAGTCTACTTTTTTTCTGTATAATAACCTACACATTGATTTTTGAAACATTTTACAAAGAATCCTTGTGTTTTGCACATCGAACTATGCAGGATAGGTTTAAATATGATGCATTGTGATGAAACTCTTAAATGAAATCACTGAAGAACTTATCTTATATGCTCAGCTAGTCTCCCCTGAAGCTCCACTTGTGAGTGACTCACCAGCCAACATTAAACTCAACGTGGGCATCAAACAGGGCAACAACTGGGGCAGTGGCAGCCCTCCATCCACTCACTCGGGACCGGATCAACCCCTCCTGCTTGGCATGCCGCACTATCTTGATGAATCCCGGACGCTGGCTGTTTGCTTCCGACACAAAGTCCTGCAGTTTTTCCTTGAGTTCATCTGCAAAAAAAAAAAATCAGACACAGCATCCATTTTACATCAACATCTGCAGTTCCTTTGAAGATCTCATTTAGGATTAGGTGAGTAAAATAAGAATTGCCTCAAGCACACTACCGCCCACAAGACTTCATCATGTCCTCCTCTAGTGGGCAGTTTTTCAATGGGCAGAGGCCAAAGGCACTGATGCTTCCCTGCTTTGATCAGTGGACCATACAGGCAGCAGCTTGAGCAGACTGCTGACTTCCATGGGGCTTCACAGCCATAACATTGTTTTTTACAATATTAAAGTCTCAGCCTGGAATCCTTTTCAATACATGGGGGCTGTCTGTATCAAAAGTTTATTCTTGATCTTACCCGACTCATGTACAGTTTGATGAATCATACTCTGCATGATAAGTTCTTACAGAGTATAATCATAGAAGAACCATCATTTCTGCTTGATTTTCAAGACACACAATGAACTACAAGAGAGTAATACAATTTCTGTTTGGATGAGCAGGCTGGCTCATCCTGTGATCTGATTGTGTTTGTTTATTTCCAAATAACTAGTATTTTTCAACAGAATCATGTCATGCTCCAAAATTGAAAGAAATCATGTCGGCAGATGGATTTCTAGGATTCCTGTGACAGACTGGCAAACTTTCCAGGGTATTCCCTGCCTGTTAAACAATCACTGACAGGCTATACTTCTACTGTGCATGAACCAACATTACAGTTCTAAAAGTTAGACAGCTCAACTGGGTAAGTCAAAGCATCCATTTATTACCTATAAGAATTAATGTTTCATAGATATATATCAGAGTAATTATTTTAATTAGTAATAATAATTTATTTTTTTCTCTTTTTTTTTCTTCTTTCAGTGTCAGCTGATCCGCAGCAGAGGGGAGTCTTAATTTTACTTGTTCGTTCACAAGTAGACATTGTGTTTGTTCCCTATGAGGTACTGAGGTTTGTATTCTCCATGAATTAATCAGTCAGGGGTCTTTTATAGTAAATCAAGTTTTACAATATTAAGCAGAGAGATTAGTGTCTTGAGTCATTTACTCTGCATTTCTAAATTTACAGCTTAGATGAACTCTTGTAACAAATGTAATAACTTTTATTTCATCAAAATTAGGATGCCCTAATGTGTTGGGAATAGAAAAATAAGAGTGATGCATTATTATGCCTCATAACAAATCACAATAAAGCACAGTTCATTACGCCAGCAATGACTATATGCTACTGCTCATCAATCTTTTAGGACTGATATCCTGCTGAAGGTCTGCCAGAGTTACACTGAATTCCTACGAGAGGCAACTTTTCTAATATAGTGGTGAAATAAGTCCATCAGTTTAGGATTGTAAATTTAGCTAAAATGTCTCCTGAGATGATAATGACCAAAATTAATGGCGAGTGAAAAGAATGAACATTTTATTTTTGCTCAGATTCGTCTTTCCTGAAGTCATATATGACAGGGGGATTGGTAGAAACTTTTTGCATATCGGCACTGTTTTAGATATATAACTCACAAAATATGGAAAGCGAATAGTACATTAGCAATGATTAAGTTAATCAACATGGGTTCTTTGATAAATTACTAGGAATTTATAACTGTGTGACTGTTCCTGGGAGTATAACCTGATATATTTCCTCTTTGCTTTCATAAGGGGAACAATGCATTCATGCATGTTAACATACAAACATCATAAATCACTATAAAAGCATTTCTTCTTGCAGAGCAGATGGCAGATCGACTTGGTAATAGGTCCTAGACTTGCTGTGTGGTTCGTGCAGCACCAATTGCCTGGCAGCTTCTCAATACACAACTCCACCATAGGAAAATTTGTGTCTGAGGCATCCAGCAGGTACTGGCTCTTTCTCAGCAATAATATCTCAGGCCACTGGCAGTTGTGAAAAACAAAAGTGTGACTGAAGCTCCAGCCTGAAGTTTGGCTTTGCTAGTTTTGGCTGTTATCATCCCAGCATTGTTAACCCTCCAGCTTTCATTCACTGGTCTTGCAACAGCATCTGAGGTATCCATCAACAGTGGCTGGAACTTGTCTGCACACCTTAGGCTGTTGAATAAATCCACATTAGATTGCTACTATCACAGCAAAGCACAACACTAGAATGGAAAGCAGGCTTCAAGGTCTTCCAGGCAAACAAGACCATGCATTAAAGAAATATAAAAAATTATGTTAAGAGTTTTTTAATCTGGAAAGAAACAACATGTAAATTTTCCCCAGCAGGATTCATATATATTTTGTTTTTTACAAATCAGTCTTTTTTAGTTCGGAAGAAGTGATGGGTTTAAAATTTGTAACCTCACTGTCCTTTTTTGATGCATAAGAAAAAGGCTGCTTTAAACCCCCCAGATAATTTAACAGAATTGCATCGAAGGTAGTTCTTGTCATATTTTCTGTTCTAATGTGAAAACGTGGCACTGACTCAAAGAGGAGTCAGACCATCTGGAGATATAACATTCTGACTCTACTGCGGTGCAAGATGTAATGATTCCTATAATTCACATGATTAAATTAATTTCCTATAGAGTTGCCTAGAAGAGCACACTAAAAAAGGATATAATGGTAAATCGTAAATTAACCTACACAGTAACATTAAGGCCAGAATACATCGGACTTGTTTTAATGTCAGATGTGGACTCTAAATCAGGTCATATGAACTTGTGGTAATTACATCCTAATGAAATGCATGGGGCTGGTCTGACAGCATAATTTTCTTCAGCTGTGCTTGGGTATCTCAACAGAGGTAGAACCCTGTTCTGTTTGGTCAAACCTACTCAGCAGTTTGATGGGAATGTAAGGAGTCACACAGGAAGACAGAAACATGGTGTTAAAATAAAATACAGCCGTATCAGTAAAACGCTAAGATTTCTGAATTGCAAGGTAAACCAGCGAGGATCGTCTGTGAGCACACAGCGTGCATAATTAAACATACACATCAATAAAAAATTTCAATGAACGGTTTACCTTACCCATGGTAGGAGCTCAGGAAACAAGATAAAGTGATAATTTAAGCTTAAAGAAAAAAAATGTGTGACAACAAGGATGCTTATGAGGAATTCTCAGGACAAAAAGAGCTTTTTCTGCTGAATAACTTCAGCAAACTTGACAAAAACACATTTGCAAATCACCTCTTACCAGTCCACAGTCTTTGCTGTGGCTTTATTTTCCTTTCTTTATACATGATCACAAGAATGTGCATGACAAGGAAGGGCTATATATACTGCATTCATCATTTAGGTGGTTAACTTTGTATTATTTCTTAAACTCCTTGAGTTATTTACTGTCACAGGTAGGGGCTTTGGTCGGAGACTAAGTGTCGGGCCGGTATGATTTAAGGAGGGCCAGCTCTAGCACGCTGAAATTAAGAGCGGCCACCGGGCAAATGTCCGGTATCACAGATTACCAGTCCGAGCGTGTATGATCTGCTTTTCTGGACTTTTTGGTATAGTTAAGGTTTACACTATAGGTTCTTATCACTATTTAAAATTCTTGGTATTCATTTAATCTTTGCAATAGTTTGTAGATTTCTTAGATTATGTTTTCCCATTGTGTATTAGGGGTCCATATCACAAACAAATTCAGATTTAGATCCTCAACTCTGAATTGATCTAGACTAAGGTTGAAAACTCTGAGTTTCTGGTTTCACAATAGCATCTGTCAGTTAGTCTATCAACTCTAAGTATGTCCACTTAAAGTTGAACACGTGCGTAACAAGTATGAAAAGCCATTATCAGTGGAAAAACCGATCTAACAAGTCAAAATGACGACACGCAACAGGAAGTGCCTATTTCCCACCACTAGAATTATAGATTTTAATGCAGAAATAAAAAAAATAAACAAATTGGAGAAGGTCCTTAAAAGACAGAGCAACAGTACTATAGCTGCAAAGGAGAGGAAGATTGCATAGAAGAACACTGCTTGATTTTATACATAGATTTATATTAAGGCCGTTTTAACATCTATTAAAAGCACACTGCTATCTGTTGTTCCATTTGTAGATCACTTAAAAAGGATTCTTCTTGGTCAAAATCATTTTGCTGGAAATAACTATAAAAACAGAGTTTTTAAATTACATTTTTGCCACAGAAACTGAATTTCCAAAATAAAAAAAAATTATAAATGGTACTAGAAAGAAAAACTTTTACATTCGTAGAAAGGTATTTTAAGTGCCATTTTGACTTTTAATGCCTTAACTGAATATGTATTTATGATATCTTAAATATGTTTATTTCTGATAAAAATAATACCAATTATGAGCAGTAGCAGTAGGAATATAGGAAAATTACCTAAACGTGGCAGAAGAGTAATCCACAGAAGATCATTTCAATATTTTAATCAGGAGCAGTATATCATTGACATTCAAGCTGCTGACTGGTCAGGAGTGTGCACTGATGTTAACCCAGACTCAGCTCTAAACAGATTTATGGAAATATTAATGAAAATTGTTGATAAACAGGCCCCATTGAGGAAAAGTACAGTTAGGAATAGAAGTGCACCATGGTTGGATGATGAATTGAAGGAATTGATTCGTATTAGGGATAGTGCTAAGACAAAAGCAGATAGTTCAGGTGAATCAGTAGATAAAGAACACTACAAAGCTTTAAGAAATAATGTAGTTAAGGCAAATAAAAAAAAGAAAAAAGAATACTTTCAAAACAAGATCAAGGAAGCAAAAAACGATAGTAATAGGTTATGGAGCACTTTAAATGAAATTATGGGTAGAAGCCAACATTCAGTTAAATCTTATGTAGAACATAATGGGGTTTTTATTACCATACCAATAAAAAAAATGCAAATTATTTTAATAATTATTTTACCAGCAAAGTTGAGAAATTAAGAGCTACTATGACTCCTGTTGATAGTGGGTCTGAGTTACATAATGTAATCTTAAAAATAATTTTTCTTTTACATTCCATGAAGTGGATACAGTTTTTGTTAAAATTATTCTAAAATCTTTACCAGATAGAAAATCACCACGAATTGATTATTTAG